GGATATGGTACCTCGACATACTTTGCCACACTGGCGCTTTTGATCTGGGGCACCACGGTGAGATTGTCTCGCTGGCCTTTAATAGGACCTAGACTAAAGCTGTACTTGGCAAGCTTGTCAGCTGGGACCTCTCTGGACACATCATGCATTTCGTCAGGAATTTCCTCACCGACCGCACCTTCCGAGTTGGAATCGGGAACCGCTTTCAGAAAGAAACAGGGTGATCGCTGTCACGCTCTTCTTGATCGCTATGAACGGAGTCTTCAGCCAGCTGCTCAAGAACATCCACATTTTTGTGTACGCTGACGACGTCCTCAAGCCCAAGTCGCAGTTACAGCTGTAGCTAAATGGGCTCATTGACCGCACGCTATCTTTCGTGCCTCACTTCCACGAGGTCAAACGGAACTGCCGTAGCCGAATCAACTTGCTAAAAACAATTTCCAAGCCCAACCGACCCAACAATCGAGCGGTCCGCTTCCGGGTTGCGCAAGCCATCGTTGACAGCCACCTGCTCTATGGAACCGAGCTAACGTCCCAACAAACAATTTAAGCTGCAGACTAGCTTATACAGACAAAAATTTGCTGTATAAGCCAATTTTCAGCTGTATAAGCTAATCTGCAGCTAAAATTGTTAGTTGGGGTGCCTCGCATCCGGTCTCCTACCTTCCACTCCCGCCGATTCGGCCTGCGTAGAAGTGGGGATCCTGCCATTCCGGTACCGTGTTATGAACGCAACCATCATCAAAGCCGCATCATTTGTCGCTAAAACAGCTGAAATTGGCAGGATCTTCCTCCTCGACGAGGGGAACAGACTCCTGCGCACGATCGCTAACGTCGACCTCCCCCCGGTGGCTAGGACCCACTCTTCCGACCCCAACATAGACCACAGGATCAAGAGCCGGTTCAAGGCAGGTGACAACTCCCAGGTCTTGCGTCGGTCTGTAGCCGAACTCGTTGGTTTACGATATGCCGAATTTTCACACCGGTACACTGACGGTTCCCGATCCAACTCAGGCGTTGGCATCGGAGTATCCGGAAGTGGTTTACATGTCAGCAACAGTCTACCGCCGCAATGCTCCGTCTTCTCTGCTGAAGCCGCTGCAATCTTCCATGCAGCCACAGCACCTGCCAGCCAACCAATCCTCATCCTGACGGATTCCCACAGCGCCATACAGGAACTCCGTTCGGCAGCTCGCCCCGAGCAACACTGTATACACGTGGATAGCTGGACACTGTGGGATACCAGGCAACGAGGCAGCGGATCACCTTGCTGGATCTGGACCATCCGGTCCCAGGTTCACTGACAAGGTGCCGTTGCAGGACATCAAGCGATGGGTCAAATCCACAACTCGAAAGGCATGGTTCAGCACCAGGGGACCTTTTATCCGGAAGATTAAAGGAAGCACGGAGGCATGGTCGGACCTCCGGAATCAACCGGATCAAAAAGTGTTATCCAGGCTCCGAACCGGACACAGTCGACTAAGCCACAATTTCGGTGGAGGACCCTGCGGGATTACCTCCAGCATCCGGAACCTCCTCGGAGACAACTCGCCCGCTGCTGACGCCCTCTTGGATTTCCTTTGGGAAGCCAAGCTATACCATTGTGTTTAGTTAGGTCCTTTGTCATTTTCTGTTTGTCAGTTTTCTTCCGGCTGTCGGGACGGTTCCGCACGGGATGAGCCTTTTGACCTCGTCTTGTTCAGATCAGTGTTCAATGTTCATTTTTAATTTGTCACTTCTTATGAAGAGCCAGGAAGGCTGTATTCTACAGCCTTCGCAGGCGCTGGGGCGCCATATGGGATGAGCCGTCGGCCCTCTTGACGGTGTCCACCCGCAGAAACAGCAATCAACCCAATAACAATGTTCTTAGATGTTAAGCAAAACACTCTGTTTCTACAAAAACTCTTCTGCGACCTCCTTTTGACAAAGAGATGAACTAGCCTTCGGCTAAAAATCTCTTGAATAATTAAAAAAAAATCAAACCGCTACGTATCGAAAACGGTGCGACTTAGCAAAATTTTACTCAGGTGCTTTTTTATCATAAATTTGGTGTACTTTCATTATATAAAGTTGAAACAGTAATTGGACCAAGTTTTGGATATTTTTTTTCCAAAAACATGTCCCCTAAACAGAACAACAAATAAAAAAATAAAAAAATAATTGTTTTTAAGATTTTATTTGAAATAAAAAAAAATTTGGGTAATTTTTTCTTAGAGTGCATATTTTTTTCAAATATTCTCATTCATTATCTGCAATATTGCCGAAGACACCAAACCGATCGGGAAAACAGTTTTCAAGTAAAAATTTTCTGAAGATAAGCTTGATATTTTTCAATATGCCCTTTTCAAAAATAAGGCTGAATTCGATATAGGGCGGGCTTCCGGCAGCTTCCGGGGCTAATGTTCTTCACCACCCAGTACAAATTTGATGTTTCGGAGGAAGTAAGGAAGCAAAAACTTTCAAAGTTTGCCAAGAAATACATGACATGTGAAAATTTTCATCCAAATCGGAGGGGATTTGGCTAGTTTATTTGCGCATTTGCTATATAATTGCTCAAAATTCAAAAAAATACATTCATATTTCCCATAAATCAATTCACTAAAATGCATATATCTCGGTCTAGTAATCAGATAGCTAAAATCTTCTTCCGACAAATATAATCTACGTTAAATTTAATACAAGCATAGTATATTTGCAATAACGGATAAAATTAGGAAGACCCCTTTTGTACAGGAGTAATGTAATTTAAATTCTTGATATAAAAAAAATTGGAACACCGTAATGAATAATCAAAAATTCATATATTGTCCTTGACCTTGGTATCATAAATAATCTTATATATTGCTTCATTTTCGAATAAGGTGAATGATTCGATCTTGGCGGTGGGCTTTGAATCGTTGTTCCTGATGCGGTGTGCTTCTGTTGTGGCATTTGGGAATACCATTTACCATGATGGGGCGCGTTGTGGTGGAGTCATGCAGCCGGGGATAATTTTTCCTCAATTTAGCGTGACATAATCAGAGTATGGCACCTAAACGTTGAAAATATGTCGGTTTGGTTGCGGTAGAAAGCGAATCAATTGGAAAGATTTTTTTGGATCAATCGATTCCTATTTCATTCAGTCTCGCAGCGTTCCAACTAAATTTCATTACCGATAAACTAAGACTTACACTCACATTATTGTTTAAAGTTCAGAAACTAAGGAAAACCGGGCTCAGAAAAATTAATTAATTAAATTCTGACACGGATGAAACATTTTAGATCTTGATTTCCCCGATTTTGACTAGTGACCTCAATTCCGGTGCAGGAAAGGCCTCAATATGAAACTAATGGACAATCGTTGTAGAACAAGTTGTCTAAAAACGTGGATGTTGTTCAGATAAAATGATTCCAATAGAAACACTTTTTTTTTGATTTCAAAACGAACATCAAGCCTGTGTTGATGAAACTCATTCGGCAGAAAAACATGTTTTTCGAAATTATGTATTGAGATGTAACGATGATCATTTGTAGCTATGAGTTACAGGAAAAGGTTGTAAAGTATGTGCTTAGTTTCAGTTTCAGGGAGTGACATTCAACGATGATTGTATAATTTCGAAAAATATGTTTTCGGTCGTAATGACCCCGCTATTCTGCGAGTCACGTGACTCTCTGTCACCGGTGAGGTGACAATAGTCACCTTGTGTGAGGTGACTCTCCATTTGATTTACATGGAGAGTCACCTCACACGAGGTGACAATTGTCACCTTACCGGTGACAGAGAGTCACGTGACTCGCAGAATAAGGGGGTGAGTTTCGTCACTTCTGCTTTCACATACTTCAATTTTCCGTCTGTCATTAATTTGTCCAAAACTAGAATAAAGTACCTATCTCACAATGATAGAAAAAAAAACCACAGAATTTATTTGGCATACTCACGTCACAAATGGCTCAAAACAAAAATCCTCACCAACAAGTTCCCCCCTATTCTGCGAGTCACGTGACTCTCTCTCACCGGTGAGGTGACAATAGTCACCTCGTGTGAGGTGACTCTCCATTTGATTTGCATGGAGAGTCACCTCACACGAGGTGACAATTGTCACCTCACCGGTGAGAGAGAGTCACGTGACTCGCAGAATAAGGGGGGTTAACAAACCAAAGAAAGGTGTGAAACTTCCATTGCGCGAGCTAACGGTGGACGAAACACGAAACAAGCAATCGAAACCGAACATGGAACAAACTAAATAAAACAATCAACGCAAAAGAGGTTGACTGAAATCCGCTGACGGATGGGTGGAAACGAACAGAACAGAACGGCTCAGGAATCAAAAGAGGTCGAAGGGAAATTTCGTATCGCTGTGCAAACAGAACACAAATAAAGCATAACAAGCGGTCAATTCGGGTTTTTTTTTTGTTTTTTCTTTGTATTTATGTTTATTTTCTGCTCTTTACCATTCAATAAAAAAAAAACTTTAAAAAATAGTCATTAATTGCGAATGATTCCGATTTCATTCTTAGATAACAGTTATACAAAAAAAAATGAAAACGGCTAGTTTGATTTTTCTGTCATATTATATACACTTTTCGTCGTTTCTTAAAAATATAAAAATGCTTTTTTTGCGAGTTGTAAGCTGCCGCAATCATGATCAGTGCCATAACTGCCGACAGCATGCATGTAATGAAAAAAAAACGAAAATCAACCATACTATGTACACAGGATGTTGTATTTTTTCAAAAAAAAAAAGTTATTTTTTCACTCTAGTCTAGAACTAATATAAAAAAGCCATGTAAAGTAGAACTAACGCTAAACGAAAAATAGTTAACCTACAGTAGTTTTTATCATCATAAGATTTACTTTAAAATGATAATAATGATCAGTATTTGTAATAATTGGTTTTGTTTTTCAATGCGAAAAATATGTTTGCTGTGTGGTAAATTCATTCCTATTCTAGGTTTAAAGAAGTGTTTGCTTTGTTTGTATCTATCTCTAAAGTTTAATTTACATGCTTTTTGCAGCAATCAAATATAACGTACTAATTTAAGTGTTTATTTGTAAAGCGTTTGTTTTTAGTATATATATAAAATAGGGCTTCATTCTGAAGTTATTTATATAATATGTAATCTTTTTCTTCGTTAGGAAGTATCTATCAGTGAACTGTAATAGTATTTGAAATGACTTTTTGTTTTCCCCTTGGAAGAATAGTGGGTAATGATAGACAAAACTATAAAAAAAAGGATAATTTGTAATCAAGGTAAGGTAGGATTACCTTCGACGGCCACAAGTGGGCTAGCAAGGCCAGAGAGTGTAGGTAGATGGGAATGAAATGTAATTGGTGTGAGATAACTGCTGCGATTGTGATCTTATCGGATTGCTACGTACTTACACACACGTCGTCCTCGGATCGCCGTGTTGCTCTAGGGGAAACAGCGCACTGGGAGAGGCACACAAACTCAATTTTGACATACAGAAAAAAAAACACTCGCAACGTTTCGGTTTAACTTTTCATCTCTTCTTCTATACCAGCTTTCACCAATTATTCTCGCCCAACTCTCAGCGTTGCGTCGAACTATTACCGATAATGGATTGTTGTGTGTGTACAATTAACAATTTTTGGATGTTTTGTTACAACAAAAAAATAGTTCTTAAAAATTTCTCAATGCATCGAACTAAACCTAATAGAAAACATGTTCTCTTACTTTCGTTTATTCCCATCGAAGCAGCTCGCTTCGCACATATCTCAGTCCCTCGCTCTCTCTCACTCTAACGACGTTCGAACGAAATATTTGCTATCTCCTATTCGCGTATTGGCACCATGTCGCGCGCGGTTAAGCACACGATTTGAAATCACATTGGTTTTCATCTCCTTTCCAAAAACCGTAACTACCGACTGGGCGTTTAATCCACGACGCGTCGATGCGAGTGGAGCGACGTTCTCAGCTGCCGAACGCGGGCGTACAATCGCTGTTGCTGCTTGCGAAGGGCGTTGAGCTGCTCCTGTTCGCGGTTAAGCCGGGTGCAGAGAGTAGCCGCTTCACGGAGAATGTTAACCTTTGGTGCACGCTCCTTATCCCGTAGGTTCGGGATCTGCCGCTTCAATTCCTCGAAGAGGTTTTTCAGTCCAATTCGCCGCTGACGTTCCATGTCGTTGTGTAGGTTCCGTTTCTCGAGGGTTTCCAACTCTTCCGAAGATTCGACCGGCTGGGCGATCGTCTTTCCGGGGATACGTTGCTTCTTGCTACGGTGCTGATGGTGGCGATTTTTACCGTTACGATCGTCTTTGTTAAGTCGTTTGCGAGAGTTAGACACATTGCTGGATCCGGTGCTGCTGCACGGAAGTGGGGTGTTCGATCCGGAAATGCTGGTCGACGATGCTGGGGTGAGATAGTTTGGCGAGTATCCGTAGGACTTGCCCGGACTGGACTGGGTAGCACTTGCTGGGGCGCTATGCTGCGTAGCATATCCATCATCGGAGTGGCGACGGCGGTGATGATGCGCCGGGGTGACCGTCTGGGACTGCTTGCGGGCTATCTTGTGTGCCACTCGATTCTGAAGGGCACGTCGGTCGCGTGGTGTCGGATTGGTTGGTAGATTCTTTTCGCCTATCGATACGACGTCAATTTCTTCATCTGCGGAGCAAAAGAGATAAGGGAGAAAAGTTTGATTAGTTTCAAGGCGAGCGCGATTTCAACTCTTGTTGAGAATGAACCGAAACATACACACAAACAGCAGTCACACATCCGGTTTCAATTTTGCAATGCCGGAAACTATTCAAACCAAAATTCCCACCAAATCAGCAGGCCTTGAACCGTGCCAAAAGCATCATCATATCAGCAGCAGGCGTTGAGCAAGCTACTCTCACTGTTATCAAAGAGCTCCCATTTTTCGTACCCTACTACTAAGCAATAGAGAGTTTGAAGGTGAGAACACATCATAATATAACTTACTAACTGCCAAAGTCGGAAGAAAGGAAAAATTAAAAAAAAAACCGAGTCATTGACCCACATCGGGAGAGTGCATGCATAGCAAGTGGTTGACGCGCGGACCGGTTGCGGTTTTGTGGACATGGGCGGTGGCAACAGCAGCGGTGCATTCACACCGAGAGCAAACTGACTCGCGATCGTTCTCAGAGCAAGCGAACGAGCGTTGGTTGGCCGGTCGGGCGTGTGAAGTGAAAGGTACCGAACCGGATTCCACAACGCCACAAAAGCACCCTGGGCATGTGGCGTCCGACCCCTTTCAAACCCCTTCCCGGTACCCATTGGAGTAAGTGGAGTGGTAGGCAGCCATCAGAATCTCTTTCAGGGTGTGTGGGGGCATATGAAGAAAAGAACACCTTAAGATGGAATTCCATATCGCTGGCAGGGCAGGCGGTGGTCGGTGGCTGACGAACAGCGAATCAAGAAACCAAAACATATTCCCAAAAAAAAAAGCCAACAGCAGCAGCAGGTGAAACCAGCCAGCAGTCAGTGGATTTTCGTGCGATTGTTTCGATTCCAGTCGGGAGTATGAACGATCGAAGGGGTACATATTTTAACACGAATTACTGCCTCCACAGTTTCTATTTTGGTTCTTCCGTTTCATCACACTGAGATATACGAACAGTCATTGTCGCCGAAATTTAGTTGGCCAAAATGTGCGCCAATTGATCCGCAGTAGGATTGCTTTCCACCCCGCAGCGGCCGGGTGCAAGTAGGTGGCGACGGGGCAGCAGCAGTAGGCTCTCTTTAGAAAGTAGTTCAACTTTTACTCTGTCAGTCAGCGCTCGCTACATCGATGATCGTGACAAATAATGGCTCTCACTCGATCGGAGTGGAGGTAAAAGTGAATATTAATAAATCAAGTCGCGCGCCGTCATGCGAATTTCTCTGCCTTTCGATTTTGCTGCACTTTGGCTCTTTAAACCGTAGCAGCAAATTCCAATCGAACAGAAACCGAGAGGTCAGCAGGGGGCGCCGTACGCACTACTCCACTCACGAAGCACTCTCATACCCTTCTTCTTCTTTTTTTTCGCATTCGCAAAATCCTCCTCATACTCCTTGATGATGCCCACAGCCAGTCATTTGCTGCTGCTATTACCAAAAATTTATTATATGGAAAAGGCACGGCAACGCGCGGGGGGAGGAGAAGCAGGCGCACGGCCTAGCAACAGCGGAGCAAAATTCTGCTTCTTGCTTTTTTGGTTGAACATTGCACACCCATACAGCCATACAAAGCAGGTCGTCCGTCCGTACATGTGTGTCGTACAAGACGTATGTCCGATGTTGGTGTGATTTCGGGCTGAGAGAGAGAGAGAGAGTGAAGGCACCGGGTATTAACCCAAACACTACCAAAAAAGACTAGAGAAACAGCCGCCCGTCGCCGGATTACACAAGATACGGGTGAAGAGTTTGGGGTGTTAAGGCGAGCGGGGGCGATTATTTACGCGACTTGGATATTTCTATGCCGTGGCGCTGCCGGTTGGGGATGCTGCGACTGCTGGTCCAAAATGTGTGTGGGAATTGATTTTTCGCTACTCTCAATCAGCGTACGAAAGAGAGAGAGAAAAGCGAGAGCGTGTCTAGCAGGACGCAGCCAGCAGCTCGACAGACGATGATGATTAGTGGAAGCGAAAACTTGTTTCGGCGAGCGGCGTTGCTAGCTACCCACCCGACCGTTGCGCCCCCTTTTCGCGGATCCCTTTTCCAAGAACCGATGATGGCTCACAGAAAAATCCCACTGATGGCAACAAAACGGGAATATTGTGATGCAGACATACGAGTGTTGGTGGACTTGACAAATATGCCAAGAATTTACGGTCGCCGCCTCCGTCCTCTCGCTCTCTTCTCTTGCAGTAGGCGCCTTTTTTTTTTCTGTCGCAATAGATCCGGCCGGACGGAATATCCTACGGGAACGAGAGAGTTTGTCGCGTTGCGGTCCACGTGACAGCATGTGACTAATTTGAGAGAAGAGAAAATGACTAAACTGTGGGTCGTTCCACGTGAAAAACTCTATTCCGGCACCGGCTAGAGGTAATGAAGGCAGTTGCGAACGGCTGATAAAAAAAAAAGTTCGGAACACCTCTGATTGATTGCGGCGCAGTTCGACACCAGAGCGAGCGGTGCGGCAAACGTAAACAGTTGTAGAAACTCGCTTCAGGTTTTTGTCTTTCTAGTTTGCGGCGACCGAGTTAGGCTGTTTAGATACTGCTGTGTGAATATGTAAATTTTCGGTCGGTCTAGCAACAGCAGCAGCTGCTGTCACGCAATGACCGAAGTCAAGGCCGCGCCATGGCGGCTGTTTTTTTATTCTTGTAATTTAAATTTTTAATCGGCTTCACACCAACCACGGACGACTACGTATTTACGTAGTAGGCTGCGAGCGAACTGGTGATGTACCACCGAAAAAATCCAGCCTATTAAGACTATAAGACCAGTCGGATCCGGTGCTGCGCAGACAGACTGCTAGCTCACGCACTTTTGATTATGTGTGTGTGTGTGTAATGAAGATTTGCGCATTTTTCTTCGTTTTTTTTTGCAGTGCTTCGCGGCCAGACAGCTTGTAATTTGTGCGTCTATTGTGCGTTCGCCGGGTCTTAATTGTCTGAGTGAGGGTCTTTAAATGGCTTGCCAGCCACAAGGTCTGTGTAGATACTTTACGTCGGTCGAGGTGAATTTGCAAAAAAAAAACTAATAAGAAGAAAAAGATTGCATCATAAACGGCCAAAGGGGGAAAAAGGCGAGCGTGAGAGATAGGTGTGCGACCTAGTTTTGGGTGTAATATTTCAATCTTGGCCTACCCAGTATGCTACACCGTCAGTGAGCGGACTTGTGGCAAAAGAGAGAGCGTACAGCAACCGCCCTTTTTCGCCTGCTGTATCTCGCCTGGGCGACGGCTGATCGTTCAATAGTGATTATAAAACTACGATCCCAACATGAATGGTCCGAGCAAAGTGAAAGCTGTCTGGAGGTTAAATTTTATGCTCTCCATGACAGAGCAGCTGTTTGCAAAATGCCATAGAGCGCAACTATAAACGGCCACGGTGGTAGTAATTTCCCACCACCTTGCTCTTGGTATACCTACGATTTTAGACATGAATGAGTGCATTCCACGGCGAATGGATCCCATGGGCCACTGAAACCACCAAGAAGTGACCTTGGAAGCAACCGAAACCACATAGCTTCAATTTCCGGTTGGCATTACGTCCGGTTGAAATTATTAACGACTCTTCCCACAGGCTGACGCAAAACCAGAACAGGTTTCCACTTATAAAGCTCATGAAGCGCGCAATTGCTGTATGTGAAGAACCCCTTTCCAAAAAAAAAAAAAACAACTGGTAATCAAGCGTCTGGGAAGAAGATCTTTTGCAAACAAACGCGAGCTCAAGAATATGGGAATCACGGCGTGTACATTGAACCGGTCATGCAACAACTGCTACCGCCTCGAGTTCCGGAAAACCAGAGATAAATTATGTGCGAAATTTGAGCATTCTCACAGATTTCTTTAGGGGATTAATCACCTCAACTGTCGGGAGGAAGAACAGGAATGAAGGGGCGCTTTTGTCATCGTCCGCAGACTCGCGACGCCTGCCGACGGCGGCACGGCTAATCAACCCCTTTTTCCGTTCTCTCTCGCTGAAAACCGATTCCCAGCCAGACGGTTTGCAACAGAGAAAGCCATCGAACTTTCCCATTCCCGAAAATGTTCGTTCCTCCGGATCCAGGAACAGACAAAGCGAGGGAAACGACACTTCCGCCAGCAAGTGTCAGGATTCATCATCACTACCGTCGTCGTCGTCGTCGTCGTCGTCGTTGTCCAGGTCCTCGTCACTACTGGAGTGGTAACGCTTTTTGTTGTCTGCAATGCCACCCCCTTCATAAAAAAAAACTTGGCGCTTCTAGAACGAAATCTGCAGAGGCACAAGCCGCTTACGAATTCTCGCTCGAAATGAACAGTGGGATGAGTCAGTCGAGACATGTTCCCGCTTCTGCCTCCTACTGATCACTGACTCGCTCGTTCGCTCTCGCTACTCTCCTCCATCATCCCGATCCCTGACTGAATGCAGATGTATAGTATTGCGCCGTTTTGTGAAATCACCATTCACCACTACTACCACCACCGCGTACTATACCAAGAATATAAGAGAAAATCTCACACGCTACCATTCCCTAGAACTAGGAAGTGAAAGCACTGCGTCAAATGAAGGAAGAAAAAACCGACGAAGGTCGAGCGAATCCTTGAAAGTATATAACCCCACCCATGTCCCATCCTCCGCCGCCGTCGAACAGAGCCGCCGCTCCCGGGAAGTAAATATACCGTAAGGAAAACTCCCAAACGCCGGGTAATGAACTTTACACCCAGCATATGACCTTGGACACCCACCCTCCCGCATCCAGTACGCACTTTTAATACGGCTAATCGTACCATATAAAACCCGGCTAAGGCTAACAATGGCTGATGGCAATCGTTTGGCAATGGGAGTTTTTTCAAAAAGAATCAAATTTTCATACAAATTTTCATCTTGTTGGAAAATGAACATTATCTATTTTCTAACTTTTCCCGCCAACGCACAGTAGGCGCCTGCTCCGCTTTCAGCCGCCGTCCATCTCGTTTGGCGGCTGTATTGTGCAACTGCCCACCCCTGGCCTGTCGGAGTACATTTCACAACGTGATGCGTGCGCATCCATTTTTCGCTCTTTCGCTCTTCAAAAGATCTCCTACCCGTATTATCCCGTCGTCCCGTCCCGTGGCGTGTGAACGCGTACGGTGTCTGTGGTTTGCATGTAGTTGTCGATGGACCGCGCCTAGTGACGTCATGCCCCCCATAAGGGACACGACGACGACGACAACAACGAAGAGTGTAGGGAGCCGCCGACTGAGGCAGAAGAGAAATATCGATTTTCCGGAACCCGCACCCGCTTACTTTTTCCGCCACTTCAGATTCCATCGTGGAAAACAGGCATGGAACGAAACATGTTCGTTCACGTTAAAGTCTCCGAAACCATATAGAGGGAGGGACAACAACCCTTGACTGAAGGCAACCAAAGTCGGCGGTGAAAAACGAACCGGAAGGAAATGTGAGTGATGATAGTAAATCAGCCCGCCGCGGTGCTTCTTCCACAGAAGGCAGAAGGGACCTTGAAGTGAAAATTTACCCCGTTGTTGGAATTGGTTACTCTAGCATATGGTTTGCATTCACTCTTTTAGTAGAAAAACATGGAAAATTTGTACTCACCAGAATCAGAAGGAGTTTGCACGCCAAGTCCGGTGAGGTGATATCGGTCTTTGGGCCGCGTATAGCTGTGATCTCCGACGTGAGTTCCTTGGTATTCGTATGACGACGACGATGACGATGAGGAGGAGGAGGATGATGACGACAAGGGGCTCATTTCTTGATGATGGGCATGTGTATAGCCTCCCGGTATGCCGCCACCTTTGCTACTGCTTCGACTACTGCTGTTGTCCTCGTTGGAATCGGTATCTGAGTCCAGATCATCGCCATGGCTGTCTTCTCCATCGTCACCTTCGATTTCATCCATTTCTTCCAAATCGTTCAGCAGATCAGTAAGCGAACCAATCTCGCCGGATGAATTCATACACGTTCTCAAGCTGCCCGAATCCATATCTTCGAGCTGCTCTTTCAGCATAGTGATGATTCGATGCGAGGATGAGTCGTCGTGGTGGTTCTGATGGTTATTGTAATGCCGGGAACTGCCTGTCAAACTCAACCGGTTCGAACCGATCGTACAGGTGGCCAGGTCGATGTTGTGTTTAAACTCTGGCGGATCTTCGTCTAAACTGAGTGGCGTGTCTGGGCGGGTGTGCAATGGTACCGTAGTTTCCCGATCCCGCAGGAAATCCGTCGTCGAAACCGTGGGTATTCTGTTCACCTGCTGTTGTTGCTGCTTGATGCGTGGATTGATTAATAGTGACCGTCCTGCGGGTATCTGAGCTGTTTGTGTTTTGAATGTGGCGATTTTTGGTGTAATATTGTTATTGATGTTCAGAGCCGAGGTATTCGAAGGTGTTAGGATCGGTTTCTGTGTGGCGGCTACGTTGCTGTTTAAGCTAGCTGCAGCCACTGCCGTTACGGTGTTGAATTTGTTTGTTACTACCGATTGATTTTCTGTATGGGTTGTGCTTGTCGTTTCGTGATTCGTTCCGCAGCCCACCTTACCAGGATGTGACTGATCAAAGCATGTACCGGACCACATACAATCGTGGTTACGGATCTGTAGCTTTGGCGAGTCCAGTTGGTCCCAAACGCTGACAGAGCAGGTCGGACCACCGTAGGTCTGTTCGAGTTCAGCTGCACTGGTTAAAAATTCCGATGTGGGCATATCTATCAACTGGAAGTGGAAATCTTGATCCCAGTCAATGTCGATATTATTGGTATCTTCCCAGTTGGGCATTTCTTGTTTCATAGAAATCATCTTGGTATCTTCCCAACCGGATCCTTCCTGCTTAACTGGAACCATTTTGGTTTTCTTTCTTTCTAACTTAACCTGTATAAGCGTCTAACTTCTTTTCCTTAATGACTAAAACTGCTCGCAGCACTTCCTTTTAGGTTTCCTTATATCACAATCCGATGAATGTGCTACCTCCTCTATTCGACGTAGGTAACAGCTAGCAAGCGTATGTCTGTAACAGAGGAAAGAGCAAAGAAAGCAAAGATTACAATCGGGTCAACCGAAAATAACCACCGTGGATATTGATTTTTTTCCCTCCCCAACAAATTCCGACCAAAGTCGATCTAATTTAAATAACGCTTCACTCTCTTGATTGCGGCAAACGGAAGTAACCGGGTACCTATTACCTACATAAGTTAATAAATAAAACACCCCCCGCTTTCTCCAAGGCTGAGCTGACCGTCGTCGGTCAGTCTCTCGGAGTGTTTTCGAGTAGCCGCCGCAGCCTACAACAAGACATAAGTGACTCCTTCCGGTGCCGCTGTTGCTGGCTGAAATTGAATCTACCCCTTCCCTCCTGGTGCTCGAAACAAGCCCAAAGAATTTTATCTTATCACATAATAGTGATGGCGGCGGCAACCACCACGACGATTAGAACCAGGAATCGAAAATTAAATTGACCTTATTTGTCGACAACCTGGACCGGCAATCGTTATCGATGCTTGTGTCCACTGGCAGCCTGGCCAAGAGAAACATATATGCTCACAACAGCTCCGCTTTATCTATTAATAAAAATCTTCATTTAAAAAGTGAGGCACAAGACGGAGCAGCAAGGGAAGGGGTAGAAGGAAGACACCGAGGGGTTTATATTGAGGGCCTAAAGAAGGGAGAAGAGGCACATGTGTATAATTTAAAAGACTTCCCCATCGTCCATACATACGAGACTTGCGGGAGGAAATGTGAATGTTTATACCGGCTTTTTGCTTCTTCTTTTTCGCCTCTTTCTGCATTGATTTTCTACTCTACCGAGTTCAGGTTCCTCCGCTGCAGCAGTGCTGACTAAGCGAGCGCTCGTGAGTTTGAATGAAATTAAATCTTGTGGTCTCTCTGCTTCCCGCCCCCTGTGCCACTCAACGTGCCTACCCGTACTTGTGCTATATAGTAGTACGTATAGGCTACAATCAAAAGATTATACCATTATCATTATGAGCGGTGCTGCTGTCGCTGTTGCCGGCCGACTACTACTCTTCTGGTGATCAATACGCTCTCATACTCGCGTTGATAAGCTGCCAGCCAGCAAGCAAGTCTCTCATGGCTAGGCAGATAGTAGCCCATTCATTCATTGATTGCAGCCGGAGGCTACTCTGCTCCGACATTGCTGCATTCCATTGCATCAATTAACTAGCCGCATGCAGCTAAAGTAGGCCGTGTCAAACAGATAGGCGCTACTGGAAAAAAAATATTCCCACAAATTATATAACACCGATAGTAGGTGTGGGGAAGGGGGATCTCAAACAGCCTCCAGTACGGCGGCAGAGAAGAACGACTTCGTCCTACTCTCTAGGCATGCGTTGGATCCCGAGCTGGGAAAAGCGGTCATGAGACGCCTCCGCCCTAAGCAAGAGCGAAGAACCGGCACCACCGCTCTCAGCTCATCGCCGACACTGATGTCGTTGGTGGCGGCAAAGGTTAATCCCTTTCGGTTACCATATGGTACCCAGAAATATGGACGAAATCTGCTAGCGATGCTGAAATTCTAGCACAATTTCGCATACACACCGGATGGTGCAGAATATTTCGAGTGAGGTCAAATCTCAGAGGTCCAACCTCGAAAAAAAAGAACAGAAAGGAACTAAAAAAGGGCATACATTTTTGGGTGTAGTTGCGGAATGCAAATTAAAAAAAAAAAAACTGCCTGATAAGTTTTTTTGGGCAGTGATTAAAAATACCCTTTCGGTTAGGATTAACGTTTATGACTGAATGCATTGCAATTGCAATTTCGAGCCTTTTTATTTACTTTTTACTTACCCTTCTTGTCCTCAGCACTGCTTATCCTTCTGCCTGCTGAATAATAGACTTCAACACTGAGTGTGGATCCTTATTGAAGCTACTGCTACTGCTTGGTGGCTTCCTTAGATCACTAATCCTCGTCCGTCGTTTTAAACACTCTTCCCTTCTTCTAGCTTTGCTGAGTGGGGAAAAGGGCGGTTCCTGAGGAGATTTGCACACAGTTTTCACTGGGGCTCAAACTTAAAACACTGGACACTCCGGATAGCCCGGATGCGATCGAGTCACTTAATTCGACTACCAGAGGAGGACGATCGTATTATTGTACAGTTAGAACTACCGTTGTTTGCCGATATTCGAGCTTTTGTTCGAACTTGCTTTGCTGCTCCACAATTCGGCAAACGTCGTCGTAGTAGTAGGCTATTGTTCTCTTGTATCACTGGTGATAGAAAGTTTTTGTTGTGAGCCAACTGCGTTTTCTTTGTCGTCTTGATTTTTTTCACTTTAACACTGCAACTGATCGTTCTCACCGGTGTCCTAGTATTGGTCGTAACTCTCGAGAATGATCTACTACTGGACGATGGTTTTCTTACCGGCATGACACTCTCGCCACAACCAGCTTCTGTTTAGATCTTCTCGCGCGCCCTTTCTGTAATTCCCTTGTTTTTTTTTTCTGAACGCTTTTGCACTGTTCACTGTTCTTTTTTTTTCTCCAAATCAAAGTAAACACTTTTTATTCTCGCCTTTATTGATACCGAACAATAGATGTTGCACTGGACAAGGTCACAGTATTCGTTCACTAGTTCAGAAAATACTTTTCTGGAAGTTTTCACTTGATACCGTATTTGGTCTGCAAAATGGAGGAAATTTTTCTTGCTTTTTCCTCCAACTTAGTTTAGAGCAGCGATTTTGGTTCACGCGCTGAACACTGTGTTTCACTGATGGCATAAACGGTTGAAAAGCCGGCACAAAACCGCGGGAGGTTAATTTCCATGTATTTATTTTCGCCGAAGGCTTCAGTGTTGAAATCTTTCATGGGAGATCTCAGCAATTTTTTAAGGTAGTCGCGCGTTGTAACTCTGCTCTGCAGAAAACGCGTGCTGTTAAGATGCGGTCTCAAAAGCCACTGAGCTTCAGTACATTCCTTGTTCGCGGTGAGACTGGTTTCATGCGACTCGATCGATCTCGATTTACCACCACGGCCCTCTTGGATTTGAGTTTTTTTTTTTGTGTGTACACTATACTTTTTCCTCTTCCTTCTTTCACTACTCCCTCTGTGGCGGCCTGTCTTCTCTTCTCTTCTTTCTCACACCCCGTGGTAGCTGTAGATGTATGTGTGTTTTGGGGATCTAGTATTAAGCGTCGACAAAACGAGCGAGCAAGAAAATAAAACTCTCCACTGCGATGTTCCCGTAGAACTACACCACCGGATCATTATTCCACTACGGAAAATACTGCCGCGTTGTATTTACCGCTTGCCACCACTAGCCGCTACTACCAGCTTCACATCACAACTACTCTTTCGCTCTTCATTTTTCTCACGCTTGCACCACCGCATCCGTCGCTCAAGCTTGGGGCTTCCACGTAGTCGCATACTCACCAACACATAGGAAAGCAACTCACACAACGTCAAGAACACTCGGACACTCACTTCGATACATGTTCTCATAGGGCAAGTGTACCATTTTTGACAATTTATATCTTGACCACACTTTTAGTTAAGTTAATTTGTATGCTTTATGAAGTTAATGACTAGTTTTGTTGAATAAAGCTTCCAAAAATCTGAACGCTTTAAAATATCTTTATCAAGACGTATAAATTTTGCATGTTTTCTCCGGACAAAAACCCCAGGACAAAACCGGTACACTTGTCCCCACATACCCGCATTCAAAATATCGCAAGACGTGGCGAAAAACTCACCAACACCACCACCACGGTAGGATGCTGATGAAAAAATAAATAAACGACGTGTCGTGAGAGCGTGAGCTTCCACGATTCCACGATGAAGGATAGAGTTGTTTTATATGCATGAACACTAGCAGATAAATAATAACACACGTGTACTTCAGAGGGCTCCCGCTCCCCACGATGGAAAACTTGTATTAGTCGTCTCGCCCGCTCCCGCTCTCGCTGTCCTTTTATGTCTCTCTTTCTCTTTCTCGGTGATTGAGCCGCTACTCAAATACCGGCCGGTTACTCGTTCCGAGACCGTCGTTTGTGTTGTGTGTAGGTAGAGAGCATTGGCGTTGACGGCACCGTCGAAAAATTTGCTCTTTTAGCAAATATAGACAGTTTCTTATAGAAATTTTCGGTGGAGTGAAAGGATAGTACAAAGTCCGCCATGTTTCACGCACAGTCTGACGTTTGCTTATGGATTTTCTCATAGGAGTAAAGAGCTACAGAGTCGCCGTCAACGCCAATTGGAGCTTGTACTATAGAGATTGCTAAAGTGTGATTGTGTCAGTGATTTGTTTTCATCTGGAAAATTTTTCACTATGAAGTTTTTTTTCCCGATGAAAACATTTGCGTATACGTATACGTAACGTAGTGTGCATACGATAAACGTCAGCAAGCTCTATATGCATACGATATACACTACATTCGAGGCTGATTATTCTAAACTAACATTAGAAAAGGGGTGAACTTTTAAATTAAAAAAAAATGTATGACTAAAAACAACAATGGACATAGATGTTTCTTTGGTTTTAAATAAATAAGAAGAACTTCAATGAATTTTTTACTATACCTGATAATTATATTTAATTATAATATGTAATTATATGTTTTAAACTATTATATTAGTGGTGTTGAGTACTTGGCCCTGATGAAGTCTGCAAGTAGTAGACGAAATACGCGTATCTGTCAAAAGATAAGCAATTATAACGGAATTTAAAGGAAATAAATGAAAGCTAAACTGAAGAAGAGTGAAAAAATGGCTAAGGATGCTATTTCAATGGCCAGATACTGGAAAAAACCAGCCGGTGAGTTTGACACGTATCAATCCAAAGTTCAAATTTTGAGAAGAATAGAAATCGCAAAATCCATATTGTATCTTTAAATTACAATGAATACATAACATTTTCTTCTAAAAATGTTTTATTCTAAACCAAACAGATTCTGAGATATGTACGTCCGATTGAAAGTGTACCGATTCTAAATTCTAAAGAAAAAAAATGTAGTAGTGGTGATGATTTTTTGTTTGTTTGTAGGGACTTTGACTGCACATGCAGTCATTTAGCCCTGTTTGAATCAAATTGATTTCCTCTTTCATGTATCGGCTTACTCTTGTAGCCAAGAGGTGGCCGAATTGCTGTGAAAAATATGTATTATTTGAATCAAGAATAAACTTAAATTGCATACGCAAGAATTCATTGAATTTCAGATACTTGTAGAGATTCTATTTGACAGCACCATCGTTCGTCCAAACTATCTCAATCGTATTCAGATGAAACGTATACATGTTATACCAATTAAACTCTTATAGCATTAGCATTAGCATTATCATTATTGACCGCCCACGGTTGCTACTCTGTTATTGCCAGATCAGCTGCAATTACACAGAGAACCAACAGATGATGTTTGGGACTAACATTCATCCTCAATGTGTTAAAACTGAAGATCTAATATTTAGCAATACCAGCGCCGGCCGTGTCCGAATGCAGGTCCAATAGGGAATGGGAAGGAATGTGTGACGTGATACTCGCTGTGAAGGAAACCGAGAAATCCTCTGCGCTTCCACGAGAATTCACTGGGATGTTGGATGTGGGGAAAGGTTTGCAGCAGCAGGGATCGTTTTTGGTAAACTAATGCTGATTGTAGTGATTTATGATAGGTACACAAACACAAAAACACACACACGCACTCGTGAGTATAAACAGAATATAAAATGATACTTAACTGAACTTTAACTTAACTTTAATTTTAACTTAACTTTAACTTAACTTTAAATTAACTTTAACTTAACTTTAACTTAACTTTAACTTAACTTTAACTTAACTTTAACTTAACTTTAACTTAACTTTAACTTAACTTTAACTTAACTTTAACTTAACTTTAACTTAACTTTAACTTAACTTTAACTTAACTTTAACTTAACTTTAACTTAACTTTAACTTAACTTTAACTTAACTTTAACTTAACTTTAACTTAACTTTAACTTAACTTTAACTTAACTTTAACTTAACTTTAACTTAACTTTAACTTAACTTTAACTTTAACTTTACTTTACTTAACTTTAACTTAGCTTTAACTTAACTTTAACTTAACTTTAACTTAACTTTAACTTAACTTTAACTTAACTTTAACTTAACTTTAACTTAACTTTAACTTAACTTTAACTTAACTTTAGCTTAACTTTAACTTAACTTTAACATAACTTTAACTTAACTTTAACTTAACTTTAACTTAACTTTAACTTAACTTTACCTGAACTTTAACTTAACTTTAACTTTACTTTAACTTAACTTTAACTTAACTTTAACTTAACTTTAACTTAACTTTAACTTAACTTTACCTTAACTTTAACTTAACTTTAACTTAACTTTAACTTAACTTTAACTTAACTTTAACTTAACTTTAACTTAACTTTAACTTAACTTTAACTTAACTTTAACTTAACTTTAACTTAACTTTAACTTAACTTTAACTTAACTTTAACTTAACTTTAACTTAACTTTAACTTAACTTTAACTTAACTTTAACTTAACTTTAACTTAACTTTAACTTAACTTTAACTTAACTTTAACTTAACTTTAACTTAACTTTAACTTAACTTTAACTTAACTTTAACTTAACTTTAACTTAACTTTAACTTAACTTTAACTTAACTTTAACTTAACTTTAACTTAACTTTAACTTAACTTTAACTTAACTTTAACTTAACTTTAACTTAACTTTAACTTAACTTTAACTTAACTTTAACTTAACTTTAACTTAACTTTAACTTAACATTAACTTAACTTTAATTTAACTTTAACTTAACTTTAACTTAACTTTAACTTAACTTTAACTTAACTTTAACTTAACTTTAACTTAACTTTAACTTAACTTTAACTTAACTTTAACTTAACTTTAATTTAACTTTAACTTAACTTTAACTTAACTTTAACTTAACTTTAATTTTAGTTTAACTTTCATTAACTTTACTTTAACTTCTGCAGGCTAGTTCATCTCTAAGCTGAAAAAGTGAATATTTATAATATAAAATAAATGCAAAGTTCAATAATATAAATGAATTATTATAATATAATCCTAGAGGTGTTTCATCATCGAAGAGCTGAAAGCAAGCATTTTAATTAAAATCCATACATCCCGCATGAATGAAAACTGAAAAAAAATGTATTATTATTATGTAAATCTAATGATGTCACATATTCAAATATTCGTATACATGTTATACCAATTAAACTCTTATAATAACAAAAGTTAATAGAAACAGATGGGTATTGTAAAATACCCCAAGTAACATCACAAGTTTCAAATATCTAGGTTTTAAAGCATTGCCCAAGCCTTAATCATGGTCTACAACAGCATAATAAAACCTAAATTAATGCTTGGGACCTAGATAATTACTTCGGATAACTTTTGACCTTTTTGGAATGCAGTCTGTAGTTCAGGGTGGCCATTTAATTTTCACTTGAAATACTCGGTATTCCCGGTTTAAATCACAAGATTTTCCCGGTTGTTAATATTCATAAAAAAAACTGAAGTGTTGAAATGCTTGCAATATCACGTTATTTTAGAGATAAAGGTTAATAGATAAAGAAGTGGCAAAGCCATCATTTCCCTTACATATAATCAGATTGAATAGCTTCTAGTTTTATTACGTAACAGCGCTATGAAATTTTGCGAAAGCTATCGGGCTGAATGGGTCATTCGGTGATTCGGAATAACTGCCACTTTTAAAAATGTTCATAACGATTTTGTTTATAACCTTGTGATTTATCTAATTTGTGACTTATACAAATCTTCGCGATACTATATTTAGAGAAAAAAATACAGATATGTTAATCATCATTATTTTTTAAACGTGGGATTTTGAAAAAAAAAATAAAGATCTCAGTTATGGAGGTCCCTGGAAAAATTTGAAAACTTGGAACAATGTTCGGGGTTCCTATAATTTGAAGAATTTTTCATTGGATTTTGAAAATTTCAACGAGATGCTGAATTATATCTACCAAATTTTGAGAAAATAAAATTCAACGGAGTTCTGAACAATTCTGAGATTAATGAGTCCTAATGAGTTCTTGGAAGAATCCCAAAGGAGCTGTGAGCATAATTTCAAGGAGAATTCCAGTGTGATTGTGAGGAGAATTGTAGAAGAAAGATGAGAAGAATAGCAGGTGAATTTAAACAGAATTTCTAAAGTTGTTCGGAGGTTAATTTCAAAGAAATACTGAGGGAGAACATTAAGAAAGTTCTGAGAAAAATACCAAAGAAATCGTGTTCAGATATAAATAAAAACAAAACAATTGGAGAAGTATTTCGAAGAAAGAAGGTTTGAAGACAATTCAAAAGAGAATTACAAGGAATTCTAATGAGAATTATAAAGGATTTCGGAATCTGACAAAGCTAAAAAAAATTGAAAATAATTTCTAAAGATTATGCACATAAGAGCTGGATTTCCCAGTTTATATAGTGTTCCAGTGATTGCTATGATCCAATATATCCCCCTAAGGTTTTGTCATCCAGTAGGGTTTGAAACGGGGCGGAAGTTGAATCATACGCCGTCCTCTTTCCAATAGTAGAGTTTCCTGATGGGCTGCCTCCTCAATTGCATCTGTTGGTTCTGGATCTTCAATACCTTCAGATTCGGTGTCTGAGTCGTCCAAAAGTTGTTCCTCTAACCGCGGTGTTGTTGCAGGTTCTTCTGGATGAATGGCTGCTGCTGGAATGGTCAATCCAAACTCGTCGAAGAAAACCGAAAGGTGCGTCGAATGTTCTGATGGACTGGTTTCTTGAACTCGACTCTTCAGCTGGTTAGCATGCGATTGGATCAACCTTTACCTATCTCCGAGAAAAACGTTGTAGGTAACGTTTCCCACCTTGAATTTGCTTGATGAACCTTGGCATACACCAAATCGCCATGCTGGAAACTCTTCTAAAATGCGCCATGTTTCCTGTTGAAAGTGTCGTTTTGCTTTTGTCTGTCTCTGGATGTGGTGGTGTGCTTGCTAGGCTGCAGACCTACCGAACATCATTTCAGCAGGGGATTTTCCGCCGAGATCGCTGGTTGGAGTTGAGCGATATACTTGCAGGAATGTTTGCAACGCTTTCTCAGGCGTTTCTACTCCATCGGAACGAATTTTCCGAAGGCTTGTTTTCACGGTTTCCACAAATCTATCAGTCAAACCGTTGGATTGTGGTGGGGTGCGGATGTGCCGAATACCGAGATTGGTGCAGAATACTTGGAATTCGTGTCCTGCAAATTGATTGCCATTGTCCGATACGATTATCTCGGGTACACCAAACGTAACGAATGACTGGTTCAATAGTTTGATGCTGACTTTCGCTGTTGTCGATTTGGTTACGTGCACCTCAGGCCACTTGGAGCGCGGGTCGACCACCACCAGAAAGTAGACACCATCTACAGGTCCTGCGTAGTCGATGTGAATCCGGGACCAGGGTTTACTTGGAATGGACCACGACTCTAGTGTCGTTTTCGTCGGAGCTTTACCAGCCGTGGAATATGGTGCGCAGCGTTTGACGAATTCCTCGATCTCGTTATCCATACCGGGCCAGTAAACAAAGCTACTTGCAATTGCCTTCATACGAACGATTCCTGGATGACCACGGTGGAATTGTTGCAGGATCCTTCGTCGAAACATGTTGGGAACTACGACTCTATTACCTAACATCACGCAGCCGTCGATTACACTGAGCGATTCCCCCTTAGGGGGGAGGGAAAGCTTTTCCTCAAACCTAATGCTCAACCTGTTTTCTGTCCCAAGCGGCCAGTTCCTTTCAACACAATTCCATTGGTCGATGCTGAAATTATACGGTTGGAATCATCGGATATCATCTAGCCTATCGATTTCTCTGAGTGGGCTGCTCCAATCGTAGCTGTACGTAAACCAAACGGCCGGGTTCGTATCTGTGCGGACTATTCAACACGGACACATCACTAACTATTTTTAAAACTAGTGGGCCCACTGCCTCCTTCATATGGCCTTACATATGTTGGCGTTTAACTAGTCATGACAAAAAAGCAGTTCGCAATGTGAATGACTAGAACACCATAAATATAATGATGACGAAAAAAAAAGCAATGAACGTAATTTGAGTGACCGCACCAACAAACAATTTGAACTAATTAGGAGCTGAATAAGCATTGTTTTGCTTGGATAAGCTCATAAAGATTCAATATTTGTTGGGGTACGTTAAGGTTTATTGGTTTTCACGGTTCTCCCATCGCATTCCCGGTTTTCCCGGCTACTTTTCTAAATCCCGGTTATTTCCCGGTTTTCCCACTTCGCTGCCAATCCTGGTAGTTGTGATATCAAAATATATGCATTGTTTCCAGAGGAATTCTAACGAGAAATGCAAATGCAGAAATGCAACGGAAATTAAAGGGAATCCCGGGAGGAAGATGAGAGAATGCCAAGCTGGCTTTCAAGAGAATTTACTGAAAAATCCTGAAAATTCCTAAATAGTTCGAAGACAATCCTTAAATGAATTCCAAATAAATGCATTCGAGCAGTGGATACGCCTTCGCTGATCCGATACTGTCACAGACTTCAAAGGCCAGTCAAATTATTCTTGATAGTATGGCATTTCTTGGATTGGTGTGCCTCCTGTATCATTTCTTGAAGATGTTGACCTTTCTGAGCGTAACTTTCGTCGAGGGGATTATGATAACTTGAATGAACTGCTGTCGCAAGTTGATTGGTCTGAAGTATACCAAAGCCACGACGTCGATAGCACCATCAGCTCCTTCAATCTTTTTTTGCATAATTGCATAATTCAAGCTGTACCGCTAAAAAGGCCCCCAAGGAATCCTGCTTGGTCCAATGCGCATATTTGCACCCTGCGTCGACGGTGCGCCAAGTTACTGCAGCGATATTGTCGCCAACGATGTTTGTATCTAAAGCACCAGTTTGACGAAGCTATCGTTGATTCAATCGTTTTTTGTACAAAATGTACGTTAGACGGAGACAAGATGATCTTCGGCGAAACCCGAAACGGTTTTGGAGCTTTGTAAATACAAAACGTAGAGCGGAGAGCGGATTGCCGACTACGATGCACTTAGGAGATGTTCATGCTCTTTCTGCAGAAGCAAAGTGCGAGCTTTTCTCCCAAAAATTTGCTAGCGTGTTTGAGAATCGTATGCCAACTGTGGAGGAGATAGTTGTAGCTGTTGAGCTGGTACCAAGAGACGCGGTCGATCTTGATGTATTCAACATCAACACAGCGACGGTTGAATCAGCTCTACAGAAACTCAAGCAGTCTTATCAACCTGGCCCGGATGGCATTCCTTCGTGTGTATTCAAAAAGTGTAGTGCACTTTTGGTTGCTCCTCTTCAAGTAATTTTCAACCAATCATTGCAGCAACAGTGGTTTCCTTCTGCTTGGAAGACCTCCAATATGCTTCCAGTGCATAAGAAAGGTGATAAGTCAGATATTTCTAACTACCGTGGGATAACTTCGTTGTCAGCTGGATCTAAGTGCCTCGAAATCGTTGTCAGCTGGATCTAAGTGCCTCGTCAATGAAATACTGTTCAGCTCTTGCAGGAACTACATCAGTGCCTCTCAACACGGATTCTACCCCAAACGATCAGTGGACGGCAATCTGTGTGAATTTACCTCTTTTTGCATCGACACAATGGACGATGGAGCTCAGGTTGATGCTGTATACACCGACATAAAAGCTGCTTTTGACACCGTGAACCACGATTTTCTTCTTGCCAAGCTACTTCGACTAGGCGTTTCCAGCAGAGTATGTAATTGGCTTCGTTCGTACTTAAGCAACAGGCAACATTGTCTGCTCCGTTTACTCCGTGCTCTGGTGTGCCTCAAGGTAGCAACCTTGGTCCATTGTTATTCGTATTATTTTTCAATGACGTGACGATCCTTTTAGAAAATGGGGGACTTCTAATTTATGCAGACGATTTGAAAATTTATCTCGTAGTACGAAATGAAGCCGATTGCAGGCAACTTCAAGAGTTACTGGATCGATTCGCTCATTGCTGCAACTCTAGCTTCCTCAAAGTGAGTGTATCTAAGTGTAGCATCATCTCGTATCGGCGGTGCAAAAAGCCTATTCTGTACAACTACACGATCGATGGACAGGATCTTGAGCGCGTTGATAAAGTGAAGGATCTTGGAGTGTTGCTGGATCACCAACTCACATTCAAGATGCATTATTCAGCTGTTGTTGACAAAGCCAACCGTCAATTAGGATTCATTCGAAAAATCGCGCAAGACTTCAATGATCCAGTTTGCTTGCGTGCTCTTTATTGCTCTCTATTTAGTTAGATCAATACTAGAATTTGCATCGGTTGTTTAGTCACCGTATGCAACTGTGTGGATCTCCAGGATCGAATCTGTGCAACGTAAATTTGTCCGGGCTGCACTACGAAGTCTACATTGGCGTGACTCAGTAAACCTACCGCCTTATGAGCATCGTTGTGCCTTGCTGAATATCGAACCGCTGGCAAATCGTCGTAAGATGGATCAAGCTGTATTTGGAGCTAAGATACTTCGCGCAGAGATTGATAGTTCAGCCTTACTGAATCGTATGAGGATTTATGGCCCAGAGCGAGTGTTGCGGTCACGACAACTAATCCAACCAACTCCGAGGAATACTTTATATGGCTCCAATGACTCTTTGAACTCTATAAGCAGACGGTTTCAAGAAGGGTATCATGTTTTGGATTTTAATATGTCTACAAACACTTTTAAACAACGTTTACGATCTCTGCATATATTTAATTAAACTAGGATTAAGAATATTTCATTGAGACCACGATGTCAGATGATAGATAACAATAATAAATAAATAAATAAAGAATTATCATAGCAGCAGTTGCACATTCATGCATTTTTCAATAGTGACATTTAAAAAAATGATATAGTCTTAAATTTACCAGATGCGTAGGAATATTTCTGATCGATTGGTGATAAAATTATTGAAATTAGTCCAGGGGCAGCTAAGTTATTAACGTTCAAAATCTTTCAAAATTTTGTTACATGTTCCATTTTCGGTTTTCACAAGGTGTACCCCCATATAGAAATCAAAGACGTAGTCATACGTCAAAAAATCTGCCACAGATGTCAAAGTTCTACCGCCACACAGTGGAACAATTCTGAAAAAAGACGATCAAAACCCTTTTCTTACCTTGCCCGATGTTTTAATGTTTAGGTGAGGTTTGGTCACTTCCCCGAGGGTACCGGAAACATGTCCAAATTTGACCAATGTGGTCTTGGGCATTTAATATAGCTACCATAGAGCCCATAGGTTTTCAATCCGCATGTGTTTGAAACCATATTAGCTCTTCCGCCTTTTCCGCATGTTAGTTTAGAATTGTCAATCTTTTTCGTCGTGCTCCATCAAGGGAATTCTACACTTCCCGCGTCCACATCACCGCATAACAAAAATCTCACCTCTGCCTGAACCTCTCTCCGACCAGCATAGTATGCGTACGTTTCATACACGTTCTTCATTGCTTTACCGCTTGCTAGGATTGGTACCAGAATAGCGATACACCACGCTCGCTATGTTTTGTATGCTGCAAGGTAGTTCTCTAATATCTTTTTCAGCTCCCTTCTACCGTTCTTTGCCTTTTACCAAGCGGCAGCAGGCGAACATACACGGGTCAAGCGAGTTGATTCAATTCACAACCGATCCAGTAGTCAGCGTAGAAGTGACTTGAAAGCTAATAAAAAGCGTCGACTATCGACTAGTTTCCTGGTCGTTCAATTCGCAGTTGTACGTCGAATTGAATAGTTTGAATCGGGTTTATATCGGGTATGAATTTTTTGTATAATACTAGGTATGGATTCTTCGTACTAATAAAATACAAATTACGTTCAGCTACATCAATTTGAACCATAATCTTGAAGCATAGATTTTAGCTGGTTGATGCCATTTATCCGATATTTGATATTTCTGTCTTACATACTTTTAATAGCTCTATGAACTTAACTATTGCTTATTACTATCAATCATATTTTTGTTAAAATTTTTAATTTAATTTTAAGATTCATAAAATCAGGTTAAATCCACTAAGTTTACAACATTAGAACAATGATTTTAAAAAATCCTAAAAATTATATAGGGGAAATGGCTCTAATGTTGGCCTATGGATCTAAGATTGGGCCCATCACTAAAAATCTGCTATTTATCGATTTTATCTAGATGAACGCGTCATTGGGACGGTACTAATGGATATTTTTGGTCGCTATTGAAAATTTCGTCGATTGCTGAATTTATGGGCCCAAATTAGGGGCATTTAGGCCGACATTACATCCATTTCCCCTACTATTGCGCACTTCTGCCTGTATGTCCAATTAAGATTTCCAAAATTTCCAAACCATTCCAATTTCAAAAAAATATATGGACGAATGTCTACGCAGGAGGGAGGAGGGGGTTCTAAAATGTCGGGTCCGTAGACGCCCCCCTCTTAACTGCCTACGTAGTTTATGAAAAAGCCCCACATATAGACCCCCCTTAGAAAAACTATTAAATTTTCGTTTCTATACATAAAACATACATATCAATAGTTCCTATCTT